CAATTTGAGAGTTGAAGCTAGCCTCCTCGAGATTTGAAAGTGTTTGGTGTCAACACGTCATTGGAAGGAGCCTTAACTGTCATGTAAAAAGAACCAAACTAATTTGTTAAGGGCTCGAAAAAACTAAAAAATGGTCAACAAATCATTAGAAAGTGTACAAGATAGAGTGTCTTCTAAAGAACGGCTATCCTAAAAGGAATAATGTTAATGGTATCTCGTTAAATCGTTAAAATATGATCTAACATACGAATAAATTTTAATAGAGTTATTAAACGTTATACAATATTCTCATTTTTTTAATTTAATTTGAAAAGGCATTTAAAATAGTATATCTAAATATTATGCTTTGGATCGTAATGCTTTTGAGTTAATAAAGACGCGATTTTGATGTCCACTTGTATCACACTTCCATCTTAGAATTGTGTTTGATTTTATTTAAAATATAATTCCACTCATATGATTTGTGTAACGCCCCGTGCCTAAGATTTGGATCAGGGTTCAAAATTCGAATTCAGCAACGGATGACTCCGACATTCTCTTACATCCCCTGTAACAGGGTCACAATACCTACTCACCGCTTCTCTTAAGAGTGAAAACAATCCCCACGAGTCATTTAGCATGTTATGTTCTCACTCATATGACATAACTAGGACCTGAAAATCATCTCTTTTTTTTTTCTCTCTTCAGGATACTCGGGAACAACTTCTATAAGTTGGCCAATCCTTTTTTAGGCCAACTCATGTATGGGTCAACCAAGATCGATTTTGTCCTCTTTAAGTAAGAATCGACTTATATCGTCAAATATTAGCGATATAAGGAATCAGACCATCTATCCAAGTGACCTATAAAAAGGTTGACTTGTTTTCCTGGACAATTATACAATTTTCTTATAAAAAATAAATTCATAATTGGGCTATTTTTCGAAATTGATAAAATACTCTACAAAGCCACGGCGGAAATGGCAGGCATCGAGCTGCTTCACCGTACGTGTGACACGTGTTAGATTGGTGGGCAGCAAAATTACGGGCAGGATTCACGGTCAGAGCCTAAAAATATCTTGCCTCTCTAGATATTTTTGTACTTAGTGGGTCCCACACAGCAACAGCCAATTAGAACATAGCTCCAGATATGTACAGATCTTTAAACTCTAGCTTTCTCCTTTCCCCTCTGACGTGGCCCATTACGATGCGAGAAACTTATATCGATCTCGATTTTCGTTACTGGCCGCTGTATCCACGTGGCCCCCACGTTTGTTAGAAGTGGTCCCCACTTCCTATGTATGATATATCTCGAACATGTATGTCATGTCGTGGCTAAGCTATGAAGCCACCGTTCTTACGTTTTCTTTTCTGATTCGTTGGTGTTTTTTTAATTTTTTAATCTTTTTCTCATCTGTGTGTGCGTTCTCCATTAATTTATAATTTTCTTTTATTATTGAAGTTAATACGGTCTTTCTAATTTTAATTTAATTTAATATTTGTAGTTCGTTTTATTTTAGTTCCTATACTGGAACTCAAAATTTTTCCTTTATATTTTATTAAAAAAATAAAACTAATTAATACTCATTATTAATTTAAGATTATTTGTTTTTTATTTTAAAAATGCGCGGAAAAAACATCTCGGGTTTCAAAATAAATACTTCAGCAAAATTTAATTAAAATATAAATTAAATTTAAATTTAGAAAAAAAAAATGGGGATAAATGGATTGACTCAAAAGTAAGATATATTTGTGTGAATTTTATAATACAAACGGTCGTTGGTCGGCTAGTCGGCACCGAAGGAACTTGTCAATTATTTTTTATTTTATTAAAATATATATATAAATGGACATGACACATTCGCGGTAATTATTTCCTCAGCTTATTTTTTATATAGCTTTTATATCTCTTAATCGAGTTTTTTTTTTTTTAATTAATATTCTTTTAAGAAAATTTTTAAAAAAATATTAAAGAAAATATCGATAATTTGTCGATACACATGGGATGTTAAAAAAAATGTTATTACGACCAAAATATCCATACGTTTGATTGTGTTTTTTTAAAAGCGTTTTTATCTTCAATTTATTTAGTTTACTTTTGTACTCAAAACTGGTATATTAACGTGAATTTACATGAAAGAATCAGTATTAATTACTATGAACTAATAATTTACTTTTAAGTGGTTGTTGAAGTTGGTCATTCACAATAGTCGATGGTCGTCAATTTGGTCGCCAAATCGTTAGTGGACATCCATCGAGAGTGAAGATCGGTAACTAACAACTACTTTGACAACATTGGTTGGTGACCATTGATTAGTATCGATGATTAGTGACCAGGATTGTTGACCACCAATCATTTCCAAATCGGTCGTTTGTCACTAGCTATTGGCGACAAGTGGCGGTTGATAATCGTTGTCAAACGATAGTTGTTAATTGTTAGTTTTGATCCACGATAACCAACCATAAATCACAAAAATGGTTGTTGGTCAATGATCATAGTCTCAATTGAAGTCATAGTCGTCAACCATTAGTTGTTTCTCATGGTACTATAAGTGTCATGACAAACAATCCAAATCAGATACTTTGACCAATAATAATCCATCACCAAAGTGGGCGCTAGTCACTAATCACTGCTTTGATTATCAACTCAAATCCTTAGACACTAATTATAGTGGTGGTTGCTTGACGTGGGTGATAACCGTTGGTGGGCATAGGCGACTAGAATTGGTGGTTGACAGTCGACGGTGGCCCAATGAGAGTGAAGTTAAAAGAGATTTTGGTAGGGTATTAAATATTCAACCAAACACTATAAAACACATGTTCAAACAAATCGTACGATATATCCTTTTCAATTTAACTTTGACCAAAATAAGATTACGAGAATATTTAGTTTTTATTTAATTTATACTCGAGGTTAAATTCAATATTATTTTTATAATACCATTTAGAAATATATTTTTAAAAAATGAATTGATAGACATTATGTAAATTCAAATTTAATATTAACGAATTTTAACAAATTTAAAATACCAAATTTATAAAGCAATGTGAATTTTCTCCAAATATTAAAAAAGAAAGCGATCGATGTTAATAGCTTCAAGCTTGTTGGAGACGGGTTAACGGGAAAGAAAAGCGCAAACCAAATCATTATATTCCCGTTTGATCAGACGACAAGTCGGTGACTCACCGTCGTTTGGTCCAAAGAAAAGACAGGCGAATGAAGAAAGTAAGAAACGTGTCACGACCAGAAGCGAACACGTTGAGCCGTTTAATGGCTGTGACCGTGACCTATGAACTGTCGCTGTCGAGAAAACTGAAAAAGGTTGGACGGTCCAAGATAACTAAAGCGCACAAATAACGGAGGGCCTCGTTTGCCTTCCAATAGACTGCCAGGTGCCAGTAGCCAATAGGCATCCTTCTTGTTCGGTGAGAAAATAAAGTATAATTTCCCTTTTTTTCTAATTATTATAATTTAGACGTTTGGTTCAATGTGCATTACGTGGAGCTCTCCTATTTAATCACGTGGAGACGACAATTTATGTTAGCATAATTAGGTGGGCTCGACACTCTTTTAATAAAAATATTAAGTTAAATTAATAAAAATAACTAATACACTTAGTAATTTATCTAAAATATAACTATAAATTTTAAAATATTTTAATAATACTCTTTAATATTTTAAAAAACATAAAAAAATACATTTACCTTTTATTTCAAAAAAATATTCTTAAATTTTTAATGGTATTTAGAAAATACATTAATTTTTTAAAAGAATTTAAAATATTTAAAAAATATCCATGATAAAGTACGTAACTTTATAATATATATATTTTTTTAAATATGTTACCATCAAAACATCTCATAAATTATCTCTCGACTTTTTATTTAATTATTTTTTAATATTAATGTTATTTGAATAAAAAATTAAATGTGTTTTTTTAACTTATTAAAAAAGTTTTATTAATAAAAAAAATTATACCTCAAAAATATTTTTTAAACATTTGTCCAATAAATTATTGATTTTTTATTATATTTTAAAATTCGTGAATATTTTGATGAATTTTTTTTTTAGAATTTTATGTTGGTTTATTTGTAACTAATGTCGAATATGTTACATAATATTTGAAAATTTAGGGATTTGTTTTATTGGGTCTAATAAAAATAATTTTTTAACGATTTCATTGTGTCGTAAAATTTATACCATATTAAACCGTGGAGATTTGAACATTTGAAATCTCAGTCGAAAATATATGTCGATATTAGTTGAACTATGATCAGACAAACACGTACGACACTTTTTTAGATCATAAGTGACAATAGTCCCAAAGTTTAGTTTATATGAAATGGGCTTATTTCTTTGGCCCACGAGGAAATAAACAACGTACTTATTTCCCTCGTTTTTTTTTTAAAATATAAAGTGATATTAATATAACTTAGTTACTCTTCTAATTTTGATACGCTACCCAACCTATTGATAAAAAGTCAAATTTTGTAGAGCAACAGGTGCAAAATACCGATCAAATTAGTTAATGTTTGCCTAATTAAAACAAGCAAACAAAAAGATTTGAGAGGCTAAGAAGGAATGGTATATTAATGAGTTGAAATTGTATTTGAATGAGAGCGATAAATAGAACATGAAATTATGGTTAAAAAGTACTTAAAATAATTGATAGTTACTATGGAACCAACAAATTGCATATTTATTTTTTACTACCCAATCATAAAATTTCACAAAATTAAGCGTTTAATTTTGAACAGTCGGGATGATCCTTAATTTCAAATTATTAAAATAAATATTCTTAGTAGGAAGCCTATTGGAAAATTCCAAAACAAAGCAAAATGAAAACTTATGCATTAAATGTTCATACCGTCGGAGTCGTGTTTGCATAAAGATTAAATTGAAAACAATTATAAATAACAAAATTAGTAGGAATTTTTTTGTTTTGACGACGAAAAAATGGGCCGTAAAGCCAGTGTCCAGAGGTATATAAACTGAGATGTAACCCTCTTTCTCTTTCTTTGAATGGATTTGGCGCGTCGGGTCTCCACTCTTCACTCTTCTGAAGAATTCAGCCAGAATGAGAGATTCACCTGGTAATTTTTTACGAAAATTATCTTATCCGATCTCCTTTTGTTGTTTGATCTCCGTCTCTTCTTTCTTGCTATAAAAAATGTTGAAATTTTGAAGTTTATCTATTCGTTAATGGCGAAAGCGAACGAGCTGCCATTGATTCTCGTCGCTCTCGGTCTGCTAACAGGAATTTCACTAGAGAAATTCATATTTTCTCACTTTTCACGCTCGTTCTTGTATTGATTTCTCCATTTCGTGTTTTCATTATCGAAACGAGATAGTATCGATGTGGAGATTTTTGTTCACTTCAATCTGTATCGCGCCGTCAATAATCTGAAAATTTAACTCGTTATTGTTTTTTGTTTTTTATTTCTTGGCTTGGACTGGAACTGCCATCATAAGTTTGTTCTGGAACAATTTTGATGAACTTGAATTTCGTCGTTGCTTGATGAATGTAGACGACGAAAGTAGTCGTCGATTAGCATAGTTATTATTTAGCGTTGTTTACGAGCGCGCTGTACGAGTAATTTGTTATTTCCTGATAGGAATAAAATGTCGTGAAGGAGCTTTTACTTTACGGCGGTAATGAAACTAAGATTTCTTCCACGAACACGAAATCCTTGTTGGAGGTTCTCTTTTACTGATCCGAATATTTCAGTTTGGAGTTCATTAGTTTCTCAGTTATTTTCAGTAGTCAACCGAGAATCGAGAATCGGACTCCATCCTGCTGCTTATTGTCAAATTTGGCTTGATTCTCGTCCTTAGCGAAATCATTAAGAATGCTTATAATAACTTCGAGACTTTTAGCTGCCGTTCCGTTGCTTCCGTTTCTTTTACGAGATTCCGAAGTCCATGAATTCTGTGCTTTACCTGGCACGATCATGTCATTGCTTGTTGCTGACTTTTTGTTTCGAATGAACTTATCACTTGTCAGTAATCGAAATAAATTTTAAGCTTCGAGGCTTGGGTCTTTGTGGAATTTTTGCTTGTTTACGATATTCATCTCTTCAAGCTCCAACAGTTTATCTAATCTTGTTATCATTTTAATAACCATTATTATTTTCACTTAATTTCTTCGTACTTCTGGTTCAGTTTGTAATGAAAAATTGATTTATCATACAGATATTTTAGTGCACGAGGTGAAAGACGCTAAAAATAAGGCCGTCAAGTTTTCTGCAATACTTAATGTCGGAGAAAATAAGGAGTTTGATTTTGTACGTACCTTATATGGTAGGTATTATTTAATTTATTAAACTTGAACGAAGTCGTGGTTAACTTTTAAGCATTCCATATGATTGATCTGATGTACACAGTTCAAGTCTCAGTGCACAATATGCAGAGACATGCTTGAATGATAGTAAGAACATATATAATGGAAGGAAACACTCTCAGAGCATGCCTATACTGGAGCATGGCTCAGCTTGCACTAATTATCTGATTACTAGAATTGAGCACACCCAAGGAGGAAAGTAAAATTTATGGTTCCATGCAAAAATGTAGTAATAATATTTTACTAACTGAGCGTTTCTCTCTATTATCCAGACGCTGCATTGTAGAGTCATGAGTTTTTTCTTTTAATTATACTTAATTTTAAGTTTTAGTTTCTTAACTTTCCTTCTTTAAAATTAGATTAAAATTTCAGTTTTTTTTGTCTTTCTAAGTTTCATTTTCAGTTGTTTGACTTTTATGTTTCCACTTTTAATGTTGCCTTTTAAGTCTTAAGTTGGTGGTTGTCCTAAAGATTTTTTTTTAGTTGAACAACATTGGGAGATCAAACTCTCTTGGTCGAGGATATATGCCTTAGGTTGGCTAAATAGGGTTCATTCTTGTACTTAATGAAGTGTGGCCTTTCATGAGAAGTTTGTATCACCAATTTTTGCTTCACTTCAATTAGAAGTTGTTTCCTTCATCTTTTGGATCCCAATCTCGCATTGTTTCTCAATATTTTCTCTCCGTTCAAAAAACGTCGAGGTTTTGATTATTGCTTCCACTGTGTTTCCCTTTTTCTTTTACTTTCTGAACAAGTGTCTCTGATCAATAATTCCTTCTGCACTCTTGCTGAAAAAATAAAGCAAAACTCCATTTAGATTTCCTATACAAGGTTTTAAAAATCCTTTATATATTTAGTTAATATTTTCTAATTTATTCTTTTAGTATTATTTCTTTGTGAAACAAACTGGGTTTTTGTTTCGCAAAGGAACAATTTTAACGTGTAAGTGGACTTCTTGGGTAAATACTGACGAGACAAAGTTCCAAATCTTAATTTTATTCATTAAGTATATTCCTTATCAAGAATCAAAGTGTGTTTTCGGGATTGACGTGTCTTATGGGAGAGTAATTTTCCTTAAGGGTGACTAACTTTTCACATGGACATAGATCTTTCTTTCTGTAACTATGAGCTTTATTTGATAAGCATATGTTAGAGGAACTTTCAATTCCTTGGGTTCCTTGTATGCTTTTGTTCATTCACTCATTTGTCAGGAAACTATTCTTATCATTAAGAAAAAAGGATATTACTAATTCTGAGAGAAAGAGGAACTTCCCAGGTGCTTGGAAAACCAGTACTTATGTAGTTTCAGATTCTCATAGAGACGGCCAAAGTCCCTAAGGAGCCAAACTCTCTGAGAATCATCACGATGCTTGTGTGCCTAGTTTATGTTGCAAGTTTTAAAACATGGTATTATTGAGTACAATATATTATGTGTATGAAGTCATCATTTCAAACTCCCCTGAAACACAATATCTATATGATGGAAATGCCCAATTAAATCATTCCTCTTCCTTCGCACCTGTATCCAAAGGATTATAAGCCCTTTAGTCTTCAAGGCTTCTAATAGTTTGTTCTAACTATCACGCTATCTCATAAAGCTATGAACAGTTTAAACAGCATTATATTGACCATGACTCGCTAGTGATTTCTACGTTTGAAGTTGCTCATGTATCCAAATATTTTCTTTCTCACACCTGAAATTTGTAAAGATTGTCCCAATTTCGTATCATCTCTAATTTTCCTTTGTTATGAACTTTTGCAGAAGGGGCTATAGCCGGAGGTGCTGCTGGCCTCGTTGTAGAAGCTGCTCTATATCCAATTGATACAGTAAAAACTCGTCTACAGGTAGCCTTATATGCGGAGTTTACTTCCAATTGGATAGTGAATATCTTTTAGGCTCCTGGAACGTTCGATCCTTAAAATTTTGGTTTCAACTGTTTTTTGCAATTATTCTGTTCACTTAATACTTTTAAGGTGCTGTGCTCTTATTTCGTCTATTCAAACGTTCTGCTTCTTGGAGACTGATATTTTTATTTTTTTCATTGAAATTATTTGTCCTGGATTGATTAGTTATACAATCTCTACTAGCTATTGCTGAAGCACTTCATTCCCTTGCTTAAGTCATATCCTTACCCGTCTACCCATTTGATTTTCTTATGCTCATTGAACAAACTATAGGGGCCTTCGTGCTTTTATTCTGTCATATGTTGGCTTTTGAATGTGTAGCACCTGGTGATTTCAGAATTATACAATCATGGTTTTTGCTAGGCTGTTCATGGAGGAGGAAAAGTTGTACTAAAGGGTCTTTATTCTGGATTGGCTGCAAATCTTGTTGGGATGTTACCGTAAGTGTACGATATTTTTCATCATCTCCTCTGCTATGTTGGATAAATGTATCACGTTTGCAATGTCGGAGCTCTATTTTAACTTGAACAGAAATCTTTCTCTAATGCGTGTTTGAATATGAAAGTATATCATATGAGAAACTGAAAAAGTCCCTTAGTTTGTATGGAAGATGAGAATGTCTCGCGCTCTAAATGCCTTTTCTTTTTAATCTGGTTTCTAGTAATTTTTTTCCTAACACCTTTAAGTAATCTTTAATTTTTTTTGTTCATGTTGATGTTTTGGCCTGTAGCAACGGCATGTCTTTATTTGAGTGAAAACCAATTTTTGTTTAAACATCAATTCTTGCTTTCAGAATTTATTGCACCGTGGACCTTTTTGTGCCTTGATTTTTGGCTGTTATTGAGTCGCTTACAATTCCTGTTCAACCATTAATATATTGAAATAGTCATAGTTAAAATTATGTGTGTTGGTTCTCTAATGCAGCAATTGATTTTATTTCTCATCATATGACGTCTGTGCTTAATGTTCTATAATTTCACTATTATCAGTGCCACTGCCATTTTCGTTGGTGTATATGAACCGACCAAGCAGAAATTGCTCAATTCTCTCCCTGAAAACCTCAATGCTTTAGCTCATCTGGTAAGATTTACCACCAACCATGTTTTCCCTTCGGCTACGCTATTTTGTTAAAAGAAAAAAGTCCATAAGTTGCATTCCGTCCTTTTCTTCCAATGATATTTTAGAGCGAACTATTGCATCAGAATGTTGGATAGAGCTCTTTATTTGTTAATTTAATAGGTGTTCAAGCTACCTACAGACTGCAGGTGTCATAGGAGGAGTGGCTTCATCGATCATCCGTGTACCAACAGAGGTAGCTAAATTTAGCTGCCCTATCACAATATTATGTCCATGCTTGCTGAGCTCATTATTCGTTCATTGTTTCCAGGTTGTTAAGCAAAGGATGCAGACCAGCCACTTTGCATCTACATCGAATGCTGTCCACGTTATTGTTTCAAGGGAAGGTTTTAAAGGCCTTTATGCGGTAATAGTAATCACTTTATTACTGATCTTTTCATATTACACCAAACGTCCTTCACCGTCATTATTCGATAAATATTTTACCAATCTATTGCAAAAGAGTGTATATTTTTCTTGTGGTTGCATATTGGTAATTGATCGCCTTCCTGTTTCTTTGATTGATGTCTCAGGGGTATGGATCTTTCTTACTACGAGATTTGCCATTTGATGCCATTCAGTTCTGCATTTACGAACAACTTAGGATAGGGTACAAGCTAGCGGTAAGTTCAATACAATCTCTCTTTCAGAACAAATGCAACAAAATAATCCATAAGACAGATTTTGTAATCTTTAACTTATTCCATCAACTAATAGGCTTCTACTTTTCCATCCACTATTCTTTGTTAAGGTGAAATGTTAACAACTCATGGCCAGTTTACAATTTTGTTAAGGAGAATGAATATCGTACGTCTTGATGCAGGCGCAAAGAGATCCAAATGACCCTGAGAATGCTATAATTGGTGCCTTTTCTGGTAAATCATCGAATGACATCTTTTCTTCTTTTGTTTTTATAAGAGTTCGGGCTGGAATTTCATAACGTTCAGAACTCGAAGCACTTAATGTTTTCTTCTTTATTGGTTCATCTTTGGAACATTATAAACTGAATAGTTGGACTCTACTATGTCAGTCCAACTAAAATTGATTACAGATCTTGTTCTTATTCACCATTGCATATATTGGTCCCATGGAACTTTTAGCGCGTAAAATTATGGATGTTTCAAGTGGACTCGTTATGTGCAGGTGGCTAGGAGCTGTTTCTAGTATCTACAAATATGCAATATTCATCTTCCAGTTTCTCTAATCTAGACCCTTTCTCCACAATGACATGCACTCACCTTATGATGCCAAATTATTCTTGACCGACATCTGGTTGTGCACGTAAATAGCCTAATCATGCATTTCATGCTTAACACATTGTGAAAAAGAAAACTATCATGATGTAGCAGAATTTCGTTTAACCTCCCAAAGAGGTTGCTTTCACGGAATTGGAAAAATAATATTTGATTTGGTTTTTTTTTTTTTGACTTCATGTGGGGTGGAGGATTCAAACCTCCTAGCTCTTGATTGAGAGTACATGTTTTATGCATTATGTTGATCTTGAAAATTTTGTTCTATTTCGCTTTGCGGGATCATTTTCCTCTGTAGGTGCTATTACTGGGGCTATAACCACTCCTCTTGATGTGATCAAAACTAGATTTATGGTTCAGGTACTGATTCATGTGCTACTCCAACTTTTTCTTGGGGCAGAAAGCCATCTTAAGTGCTTACTTGGTTTTTAATATTACGCAGGGATCAAGTAGTCAATATCAAGGTATTCGTGATTGTTGTAGGACCATAATGAAGGAAGAAGGAGCACGTGCCTTTTTAAAGGTTTGTTGCTTGTTCTTCATACCTGAGATTACTATTATTATATTAGATTAAATCATACGTACTATTGAACTTTGAGATAAGTCTTTAATCATATTCTCAAATTTTGAAAATTTTCTTTTTTACTCTTGAACGTTTTTTTTTCCATTAAAATAAGATAAAGTCTTAGAGTTATAAATGAAACCTACCTCAAAATTAATAAACATTTTGTTTAATATAACAAATAATAATAATGATGATGATGATTAAATAATAGATCTAAAACCTTAAATCACTCAAACGGCTCCACTCAAAGAGTCCAGGACTTACGTACCACCCAACTAGCTCTATGACGAAGAGATACGACACGAACTTCCTCTCTTACAAAACGAACCAAATAAATTGTGAGTCTATTTGTTATTGCAGGGCATAGGGCCAAGGGTATTGTGGATAGGGTTAGGAGGCGCTATATTTTTCGGCGTTCTTGAACAAACAAAGCAGATGCTTGCTAATAAGAGATGCCCAATGCCTGAGAAACCCATCCAGCCGCGATGATGCAGGTCATCATTTTAAGGCCTAACATCTTATTATTTTTTCGTCTTTAAACATGGGCCTGATTCCTCTATTAATTTTCATTTGTTCTTCCTCCCCTCGTTTTCTTTTTTAAATTATAACATTTTTGATCAAGCATAATTTCATTTTAAAATTGGAATTGATTCATTTAAATCTAGTGCTTCTGACTGCTTTGTTACACTTGTGGAATACAGAAGAAGCGAAGCGCGGCCAGGTTTGGAACTGGGGCGTTCAACGACTTGTCTTCTTACATTGATTCTAGAGGTATCAAGAAATTCTCCAAAACAAAGGTCGAAGTCTCGTTTGCCCCCACAATTTTTCAAATTAAATTCTCCAAAACTTTTAAAATGAACATAAGATCCCTTAACTTTATTTACTCTTAAATAATAGATAATGAAACTTTGATGATGTAGACATCTATTACAGTTGTGTAAGTTGGTTGAGTGAGTACTAAGGGAGTGAATATTAAGTAGCAAAATAGTAACAAAATGCATATTATTTAGAGCCCAAAACGAACAATCATTTTTTAAGTTAAAAAAACTAAAATGATGAAGCTCTAAGAATTGATCAAACTGAGATTTAATCCTAAAGCAAATGGTGGAAAAAGAGGGAGTGATTTTTACTTGATTGCAACAGTTTCAATTACCTAAAATTCTAGATCACCACAAAATGGTACAGAAAATCAAAGAATTCAGACAGAAATTTTAAAAAGAAATACAACATGAACTCACCCAATTTTTCTTTTTTATTTTTTTGTTTGGGGGAAATAAATGAAAAGTAACCTAAAATAAATAAACAAAATAAAACGATTTCAGACCCCACTTGGAAAGTCTAGATTTCATCCTCGTCTGAAATAAAAAGCAAATGAATACTAAAACAACAGCCAAGAAAATAATACCTAAAACAAGAAATGGGCTTAAAGCCTTAGTGTTCTTGACTCGTGCGATCGTATTTGTGGTACTTGAATAAACTAAAAGAAACTAAAAGACCAATCCTGATCACGACACTTGAATACTCTTTCACTACATTAATATGTGACAAAAACACTTGTGGTAAGCAATTTTCACTAAAGTGAATTCTTGGACAGGAGATTATTTGAAGCTAGCAAGATAGAAAATACCCTATTATTGGACAGGAGTGGTTTGATAATCATTTGTTTAGGAGCGGTTTGATTAACAATTTTGTTTAAAATTTTCTGTTTTTTGAAAATTAAGTTAGTGTTTTAAAAAATAAGTCAAATTCTGAAAACTAAAAAAAGTGGTAGAATTCAAATGTGATTAAAAGGAGAGCAGCTCGCCAAAAGAAGTAAAAAAAGTGAGAAAACAAATATGATTTTCGAAACAAAAAACTAAAAGATTATCAAAATATGACCTCGTAATCAAACAAACAATAAAACAGAAAAGAATATGGTAATACATTCATGTCTACAGTAGACCATATTCAGTGTCCTACGTCATAAGCACATGATAAACTACTTTTCCTTCAATATATATATGTATATATGTATATATATTCAAAAAATCAATATGTCAAACAAGAGGCAGCTTTATATGCTCATTATCAGATATTCAGCCAAGGCACAACTTAAATACAAATAGCACATTTTTTGTCCATAACGATGGATTGGTTGAGGTTAAGATAACTTTTCGACCAAACATAATTATTTGATTTGTTATTTTTTTTTTAACAAAAACAATATTTTTTTAAATGGGGTGTCATTTATTCAAAATTTTATTTTTAATAAAAGTAAAATGTTAAAATATGTAATAAACTCAATTTCAATACTTAAATAAAATAATTATGGAATAATAAAAAAAAATTATATAGTTAAATAAAGTTTACATAAATATATGTATAAAAAATTGTACCATCAGTAAAAAAAATATTTTTTAAAAAAATTAACAATAAATTTGGGTGGATAACTCAAATAACCCACAGATTCAACCTATCCTAAATAAGTTGATAACTCAATCCAAACCGAATGAATTGAATTAGGTTGATTGAATTCTCTGGGTTATCTGACTTTTTTAAACACTCTTGTGAAACCCCAAGCAATTTGAAATTAGAAAAGAAAGAAAGAAAGAAAAAAAATAAGTCTGTTGGAGACCGGCAAATTAAATTTCGTTAAATGTGATGCCAAGGGTTAGGAAGGATGAATAAAAAGTTCTAAAACACAAACTGTATCATGACCATTGTTTAGCAATATCATACGAAATTCATCTTAACCTGGAATCTTGTGTTTAAAATTCACCTAGGAGACTAGGACATGGAGAATTTCAGCATGCTTCACAAAGATCAAGACTACACATAAAACAGTTAAAAAAGGGAAACGGAAGCACTTACCTTCATATTTCTGTCTTGGTGCAGCTAACAGGTGATAGAGTCGGCAAACTTACTGTCAATTAAATTTAAGAATATTTATTAGGTAGATTGTTCACCTCTCAGTATATACAACATTTTCCTATGAACTTATTTGGTGTAAATCTAATTCAATTGAATACGATAAGTTAAATTTTTTTTTATCATTTATGGTAATAGTTCAATTTCATCGTTAGCAAATTTTTTGTCTGGGCTTGAGCTTTTTCTGAAAAGGCGTGGCAGGTGTAGAAGCTAAAATACAAAATGAAAGAAAAAGGATGCCCAAATAATTAATTGCAGAATAACACAAAGAAAATTTAAAGATTTGAAAGTACCGAGTAATCTATTCCCCTGAGTGTAATGGTTGCAGGTAACGGCCTTCAACTCCGATGAAAAAAATTCTTCCATGTATGCCTGTCTGAATAGAACATATTAATGATTTGTAACTTAGCTACAAAGCAGAGGTCTTCAACGATCTTTAAAATTCATTGAATAGAGTTGCAATTAGTTTGACAGACGTAAATGCAACTCAAAGACAACTAAGGTGTACCTGAATAAGGCTTGCAACAGGCTTTAACAAGCTCAACTTGTACTAAAAAATGGTAGCAAGCTGCACGTATGTTAGATTAAACGGCAGTCATGTGAATGGCAAAGATCACTAAAATCCACAGGAGCAAAATTGACAGCCAATACTTTATAAGCTTCCACTTCATTGAGAGTAATGGAATAACAAGTCTTTTATTCCTTTCTATTGAAGCAGGGATGGGTTGAACTCAGCTCCAACCTCATTAGAAGGAGGCCATCTATTCTGTAATCTCTAAAATCAGCTCAAAAAAGCAACCGTATATATAGTTCCAGTCTTGCATGCCACCATATATGGGGTACCTGCAGCAATCTTGTGAAAATTCTAAAATGACTTTAAAAGAGAGCAATTCATCAACTTCAGAATCATGATGCATGGATGTGATATAAGCATTCATTTCCATTTAATTAAAAGAGAGTAATTCATTAATTCTAAAATGTACTTTCAGGTTGTCGTACATATCCGTCATAGTTGATGACAAAGAACTGATATTAAGTGAATGTGTAACTTCATAGAATTGGTTTTGGCCATTTAATGTTGAAAAGTAGTTGATCTCAGGAGAAAACCAATAGACTGGTAGGAAAGAAGATTCGTCTTTAGACATGGGAGGCCCCTAGAAAGAAGCTTCCGAAGCCTTTAGTGGTGCCATTGGACAAGAAGGAACCCCTCCGGCATAAAAGTTAAGACGACCTATCCCTCTATTAAACTAAAGAGATGGTAGATCTCGGGGGAAAGATCATGCATGTAATGATTACTCCATACATCGGAAATTATTCATATGACAAGAAATATGAAGTATTCCTAATAGAGGAATAGGTCACCACTTTTTATTGATCGCTGGGCAATTCCTCACTACAAGACATTTCACGTGCATTGGCATAGGTAAAAGGATGGGAAAATCCTGAAATTAAGAAAATATGCTACTGTTTGGGATGCTGAGAGTAGAGAGCGACATAACAGGTGCAAACTTAGAAAATATAAATAACAATAATAATAATTCTTAAATCAACAACAAAAGTCCATTTGTATTTAAAGTGTGAATTCATCTCTTTTCTCAAACCTAGGAATTATAATATAAAGGAGGGAAAAAAAAAAAAAACTATAATGGAGTTTGGAAATGTAATTGCAACAATTAATAGATTCAGTCCAAAACTGATGTATGTGACATGGTGAATATGAACGAGAATGGATATGTATGTAAATGGAAGATAAAATATGTAAGTTACAAATGGATCCTTCAGGTGCTATCACATATTCAGTTAGCAAATTGCAAAAGAAGCTATCAGCCAACAGGCTCATCTCCATGTGCATTACCTATGTACTGAAAATCAAATAAAATCATTACAAACTTCCTCGAGAAAGTCCACAGGTGCTTTTATAAAAAAAAATACTCCATTCAATTCTACACTTGGCCTATACATACAGATAAACAGTACATGCAGTCGAAGAGCTTTCTTGCTTTTCACCCTATGATTTTTCTTTCTATATAGTACATGCAGTCAAAGAGCAACGATGTAGACCAAAGATGACTAATAATTCGGAAATTTGACAATGGACGCATGCTTTAGCAATTCATCATGGCATATAGCCCCACAGAACAGGTAAATAACAACAGTAATGTTAGAGTTTACAGTTTCGTGTTTCAAATTATCAATCATTCATGCAAGAGATACCTTTTCCCCCCCTATAACTTAATGTTTACTGGAGGACAAAAAAAAATTCACTAATGAAAGCCGTCCGGTGTGTTGATGGGCAGTCATTCATGACTACTATATGCAAGTAGTAGACCATTCACCTTAAATGCAGGTTTTGCCTCCCTGGCCTGGCTTGTCAGAGATTTCCATTACCCACTAGTGTATATCAGATGACAGCATTTATCAGACATTGATAATTTCGGCTTAAAAGCAGAGATATTATGGAGAGAAGATTTAGAATAAACACAAGAACCAACATTTTGGAATGATTACCAGTGGAAACCCTTGCACGCTGTCTCCAATACTGATCAAGCATCCAAGAGCAAGGAAAGGAAAGCGAGAGAGACGTCAGCACACAAACTAGGCCTACTTCACGTGGTAATAAGGGAATTACAACTCTTAGAATTACCTGTAGATCCTAGAAATTCTACCACATCTTTGACCGAAAGCTTTAACGGCCTCCTCAAGCTCTTTATTGAAAGCTTGCATGATGCTATCACTAAATAGATTTTCAAACATTTCAGACCTCAAAATAACATAATACAGAAAACAAAATTTAAGTCACCACAAAATACTGGAAGTCTCCAAGGACTAGCTACCTTCCTTGAGATTTATTGTCCTCAAGTAAAAATCTAGCAGAACCGCCCTGTGCACGACCCTTGAAATCTACAGCATCACCGATTTAAAATACATTCAAAATCAACTCAAATAGTCATAGACAATAACTGGAAATCCGAGCCGCGCAATCTAAGGTTGTACATGACAAAGGAATAACGAAGAAATTTAGAATGAAAAAGCCTCAACTATTGAAAACTACTGCATATACGAACTGAACACCGGTTTAAAGACGCACAAACTCAAATCAAACGATCAAGCACAATAATCCAAAGTCCGAGACGCGCAATCTAAAATACAGATCAAACGAAGAACAAAATAAAATTTAGGACGACAAACGTTTTGGATCGTACTTACTCTTTCCTCGCCTCAATTCTCACAGAAAACAATCAAAATGTAATGAAGGAACATAAAGTAAAAAAGATACATGTATGGAACTAATCAAACTCGCGGAGCACTAGTTCCTACGTTCAAAATCATCAACTACTCGATCACACCAATGTCTCAGCCGCCAAACAGAAAGCTTCGCGTTCTCATAGGCATAAACAAAGAAAATGAAACATTACGTCGAAAACAAAGCAGAAACCTGACGAAATGGAGCGGTTGAGGACGGCTCGCTAAGTGAAGTATCACTGAAGAAGTAACAGAGAGAAGTAAGAACGATAAGCGAAGCTTCATTTCTTCTCCTTTTGTGAGCTTCAGGCGATCACAAATTTGGAGCCAAACGGCTCTTCAAATTTCGCGGTCAGTGATCTGAAGACTGAAACGCTAAAATCGGCATTTTATACCATTTTTTTTTTTTTTTTATCTTTCACTAAATTAATAAAAATAAAAATAAAATTTAGTCTAAATATATATATAAACCATTAGTTTTTTTTATATATCTTTTAACTTTTAAAATTTTCCCTTTCTATAAATAAATAAATATATATAAATATAAATATATATATATATATATATATATATATATATATATATATATATATATATATATATATATATATATATATAATATTAATAAAATTTTGAGGTTAGTATTAATATTCTTTACCTTCATTAAAAAAAAAAATTTAAAAAAATTATTGTGATTATTAATATATAGATAAAACCATTTATCAACCTCTCACAAATTATTTTAAAAACTTTTGAAATTTTATAGATATATTTTAAATAGAAATGTAAAATTCAAAACTATTTTTATTAATTTAATTTTTATTATAGCACGAAGAGGAGAGTCAGCCATGTGTAATGAGTGATAAGTGTGATAAGTGGCCATTCTATCGTATGTTGACTTTTCTCATTTATTTTATTTTTTATGTTATCAAATATTTTGTATTTATTTTTAAGAATTATATAATTAAGTATTTTTAATTGATGAATATATTTATAATTACTCTTTAACTGTAACAACCTACTTTTACTATGACTATAATCGTTTCTATAAGGGTCATTATACACGGGTCTCTTGCTCATTAAAGTGATTTAAATGTTAATGGAAACCACTACATATATATAACTCCTTAAATTAATACATAAGTTACAAATGTTACTTATTTTATCTCTCCCATTTTCTCGCTATCTATAAATAGCTTAACGATCTCCATCGAATAAAACACAAACACATTGAGAAAACCTCAAAAAAGGCAAATACTTAGACATGGCAAAGGGAAGCAACGCAATGGGAGCAATGGTGATTCTCTTAAATGGCAATAAACTTGGCATTCTTAGCTCAACCTTCAACAGCCGACGACGACTACAATTCACCTATATGGGATAGATGGGTAGACAAAGATAGAGGATTAAATCTACGACCGTGTTTGGATATGATGAAGAGCGCAAAATGTCAAGTGGAACTTTACAATTACTACTTCAATATAAGTAAGAAAGAATTGGACCTAAATTGTTGCATCTTCGTCAAAGTCATGGGGAAGAGGTGTGCTCGAGCTTTTGCTGGTTGGTTTCGTTTTCCTGAGTTTGAAGTCTTTAAGCCTAATCCTATGAAGGTTTATAAGAATTGTGTTGGAAGACTTGATGCTCTTCCACCTGCACCATTCTAAACCTTAAAGATAAGTAATTTGTATGTGTTTTTTTTCAATAAATGATGTGTATGGAGCATGGAAAATGAACTTGATATAATGTTAAATAACAATTTTTCGCTCTCTAAAGGATTCTATATGCTTAATTAGATGGAGTGATCAAATAATATAAAGGATCATAGTTCCACTCTCCTACTCCTTGTGATATAAGAACTTCAAAAAGAAAGAAAAAAAGTGTCACAAGCCCCGAAGTAAGTTATCGAGGACGATGACAGTTTAAGTGGGGGAGAATGTCACAACCCAACAATGGTTGTGCCCCAAGTATGTCATCGAGGACGATGACTAGTTTAAGCGGGGAAGAATGTCACAACCTAACTATGAAGAGAGTAGGTTGTGACCCTCACGTTATGACAAGAGAAGCGACGACCCTCATCAAGTGGTGCCCATCCGGCCACGCGAGGGCCTATACAAGTGTCATGATGCAACCAAGGAGAACGGTGCATCATCTAACACACCACACGAAGTGGGTATTGAAGACAAGTTGAGACATAAGCAAGATAGAGACATCAAATAGATAAGAGGGGTAAAAATAGGCTTGTTGAAGGGTCGGGTAGGGTCCTGGGCCTTAACCTCGAAAGTCGGGACTCCGGAGGGAATTTGGGCATGCGATATCATGCGGCGTCCGTCCGTAAGTAGAGCAAAAATCATGATAAAGGATCATAATCTCAAAAAAGATGTAACAATAAGAGCTATTTATAGAAGCGATATACTAAGTTTCATATAAAATGTCGCGTAATTATGATAACCCCTAGAAGCAATGTGCACACAAAAGAAATTTCAAGAAAAACAAATAGTTCAAAGATTTGATATGCATATTAGTATGGTTCACAAGAAAATATGAATAATTATTACCTTGGCGTTGGATTCCAAGTCCTTCAAAAGCTTACATATCCATGAATATAAATGCAATCTTCGCATCTTCATTGCTCAAATCAAGAAATAGATCTTACCCTTTGGAAAATACTTCCAGTCTGCAAGAAAATTGATTAAAGTGCAAAACAATAGACGACACAAATCTCAATCTCAAAACATTCAAACTTTATTG